GTGTGTGTGTGTGTGTGTGTGTGTGTGTGTGTGTGTGTGTGTGTGTGTGTGTGTGTGATATGGGTCCACTGGCCTGTTAAATAGAAAAGGAACAGATTTCCTGTCCCTGTGTCTCTCCGGACCGCTGTTCTGAACTCTCCCAAGGGTGGAGAGATGGACTGGAAGGGAGGACCTTGCTGAGAACATCTGTGACGGCCGGTCCCAGCACAGACTGCAGTGTGACAGGGCCTATCCACAGCAGATGTCACACCCCCGTGTGTGTGTGTGTGTGTGTGTGTGTGAGTGTGTGAGAGAGAGGTTGAGAAGTCCATGACCTAGAGAAGATGTAGAAGAAATGCTCTCTGTGCTCTTACACTCTCTGTCCCTCTTTTCATTATTTTCTTTGGGTAAACATGACCAGCAGTGGATGATCATCCTATAATTATTATTATAAAATAAAGAGTGTAATCCTTTTGTCTTTCCTGCTTGGACCATTTTCCTCCCCACTCTAAACTCCGGGACCATACAGGCTTTGCCCCGCAGCCTCTGCAAATGAAATGACAAATGAGTGATGAGCAGAGCTGATGCTGCACTCCTCACACTCTGCATCTATTCTCTCTTCCCTCCGTCTCTCCATGATTGGACTTTACCGCCGTATTCCCCTTCTTTCCTTGCCCGATGCTTTCCCCTCCTTATTCTTTCGCTCTGCTTCCTCTCCTTATCCTTTCTCATCCCTCTGACCATCTCGCCTCTCACCTCCTCCACCACTTGTTCGCCACTCTCCATCCTTTTTTTTCTTCCTTTTTTTTTACTCCCCAGTGAAGCGTGTCACAGTTCCCTAGTATACTGAGCCTCTCGATGGGTTCCTGGTTCATAAAACCAACTAACAATGCTTGAAGGTTATTTTTAGGTTTGATTTCCATCATGTCTGGAGAAGCTATAGAGAGCAGAAAATGACCCTTCAAACTGGAGAGAATTTACCTCAAAAGAATTCAAATAAAACCCAACTTACTTTTGAATAATGTGGCTTTTTCTGCACCATGTATGCTAACGAGACGGGCAATACCAGAAGTACTGCAATATCAGGGAAATGAGTTTGGAGTGTGCACTGATGTCAAACAATAGACACGACAAAAGCGCAGCCTGTACAATATAGTTCAGTACGACATCGTTGCAAAGAATGCTACCTTTGAGGAACTGATTATGTTCGGTTTGAGTCAGAGAAGTGATGCAGCATTGTAATTACACTCAGTAGTCAAACTAAACAGAGCCAGGAAGTGATATTTAAACAACACTTGAAATGGAAGCTAAGTTCAGAATGACCTTGGTGGGGAAAACAGAAGAGGGGTCAGGGGGTCTTTGCAGAAGGTCTGACCGGGTGAAGCAGGGAGCCGTAGCTAATGAGTAAGCAGACAGTCTGCTCCTCTGCCAACCTACTTCTTTCTCCCCCATCTTATTCCTCCCCCCCAAAGCCCCGAGGGTCACAAGGGACACCAGGGAGAAAATGAGAAACATGAATCTGGCACTCGTCTCGAGAGCAACTGTGTTAGGAAGGTGATCCTGGTCAGACCAGATGGTTCTGACCTGGGATGGAGTAAACTGGTGGAGGCGGAGAGAGTAAAAGAGTGGACAGAGGATGCCCAGTGCACAGGACATGTACCAGTTAAAAGATAATTCCACCTTATTAAGACTTGAATATCATTTTCATAGTTTTGTTGCAAATGGTGAGCAGGTAAGAGCGAGTATTCAGATACGGAAGGTGGACAAAATAACAGACACAATCCGTATGAAACAAATTGCTTTCGTCGTCATCATAATTACAAGGTCAGCTACACAGCCCAGCAACCAATGTACTGATTAGTGGCGTGTGTCGGCAATAAAAGAGGCCTGGCAATCTCTCTTTAATGAATGCTTTGAGGTCTAAACTATATGGGATGTGGATTTGTACGCTTTTAAAGTTTATTTTTAGCCTAATATAGCTGACGTGGCCAGCGTTTATATTTGGAACTGTACTCATCTGCTGTTCAGTTCAAACAGGGCAAAGATATTTCTAAAAGGTGCATTATTTGCATTACACAAAACTTCCAGTCTTATCTGAATGGGATGTTTTTCTGTATGTTATCAGAGCTGTGAGAAATTCTTGTTTTTCACTGTTTAGATAAGACCTGTTATGCAATACTCAATGCAATCTATTCTTAAGTGTTAACACTGGAGCACTGGAGATTCAAAATTTGGCTTTGACCAGCTGCATCGTCAAAAAAGATCCACAGACACAAGTCAAACTTCATCAACATGAATAAATCCATTGGTAAACAAATGTATATATTTATTAGATTAGTTTATTAGGTCAGAATAAGTCAGGCCAAACCTGGAAACACAATGTTGTTCTTCTGTTTGCCCCAACAAAGTAAAAATAAATAAAATATTCAAGATCTTGTAACAATTTACAGTTAAATTAGCCCAAACTATTCGAAACATGGTAGCTTTTCCGAGCTCCTTGAGTTCCTGGGCCCTGCAGGCGTTTAAACATCAGTATGCTGCCTATAGAACCTCCCAAGTCACCAGACCCAAACAACATTAAACCTGTTTAGGATGCGAAGACCTGGAGCCTTTCCTTCTTATAATAAGCTCCAATATCCTGTCACCAACAGTTCAGGATTTGTACAGCAGCAGCACAAGACGAGGTCAAGCTCTTTAGAAGGTTAAAGCTATACTTCATATCATATAGTATTTGATGTTTCAGTTATTTTGTCCCCTACCTGTACATGCATACACACTTCCTGTTGATGCTCTGTCGCTTCTATGGACAGGATAGCTTTTTGTCAAATCAAACACACACACATCACAGCACACAGTTGAACTAATCCGATTTCACAGCCCAAATGAAAAGAGTCTCGCATGAACTCATCCATTAGCTATTATTAGCTAAATTGACTAATAGGTAAACACACACACATAACGCGCTGCTGTAGAAAACACAAACACCAAGGGAGGCCTGCTGCAAAACTAAACAGTGCTGAGTGCTTTTATTTTGTTCGTGGCTCTCCCATGAGAATACACAGTGCAAGACGCACACCTGTTGAAATGGACCTGAATATTGATCTCAGCATAACTCGCTGCCTTAGAAGCTCTAGTGACATGTAATGTTTCAAGTCTTATCATTTTCTCGATGCATTGGTTTTTACAGCGTGCTCACATAGACTCATTTTCTCAGAGGTCTGCATTTGTTGTCATTGTGAAATTGACATTTGCTAGCTAACTGTTGGTACAACTGTCAGGCCTTCTCTTCTCGCACTGCACATACAACGTTACAGTTGACAGCGATAACCCTGGCAGAATTGCCACTCAGGCTTTATAGTAATGTGACGGTATAATATTTTACTTTAACAGGATAAAATGAAAACTGAAGCTGGCAGTTTTAGCAAGCTAGCTAATTAAGCTACCTTTAGCTACATTAGCTGGTTAAAAACACTCTCTACAGGTGACTTTTTTGACAACAACCCTGTCCAAAGGGTGATAAATATGCTCTTGTAGCTACACACATGATATTGTGCTAAAAGACTGAGGGGGAAGACGTGGACATGTGGTTCAGGGAAAATAGAAAATAGTTAGTGCAGTGTTTTAGTTTTAAAACTGAAAAGACTAACACTGCCTAAGGTTGCTTGTGCTTAAACTTCCACAAATCCAATTAAGAGCAGGACAATGCTGGAGCTAATTTTAGCATTAACTTTGCTAGCATCCGGGACTGGCGCCCACATAGTGTATATAACGCAGGTAATAGTCATGGACTAGCAACCCCTTAATTAAACTAATGTAGTTAGCCAATGATGTCATCCGTGGCCTTGGATGTAATGTTTGGTCATTATAAGTTGTATGCTAGTTAGCCGGACATGCTATCGATTGTGGCTATATGTCAGGGCTGTTAAACACCGTTTAATCTTTGTGTTTGATCAATTCCTTGTACTTTTGTTCTTAAAAAAAAGAAACCACTATCCAAACTATGTTGAGTATCGCTCTTCTTACAACATGTGGAGAAACCGTAAGCTTGACAGACCTGCCATAATAACTAAAGTTTATCCCCAAGGGGACATTAAGAACTGCTTATGAGACTAAAACACAAACCCAAACAAGGAAACGTAAGCTTACCAGCACAAAAACCTATCTATGGTTACCACGCATGCCTCCAAATCCCCTCTAAACAAACCAGTCCAGACAGTTTTGTGTGGGGGAAGTATCAGCTTTCCATTCACGGCTCCAAGTCATTCATCTCCTACTTTGTTTAAAACCCGAGCTGCCAGACGGACAACCTCCTCGCTTGGGTTTAGAGCTTCCCGTTACTCTGCGTCGCACTGGTAGGTGATGATTTTGTGGGAAAGACTCTCTGTTTCTAATTAAGAAAGTGAAATGAGCAGATTTTAACAAGGTAATTTTAACAGCCCTGTGCTCTGCTCTCCTCACATGGGTGTGAAAGTGTTTCTCAGCGGGGAGCGAGGAGGTAATGGGTGTGGGAACATTACCTTGTGGATTGGCGGAGGGCAAATCACAGTCCTCCTGATGGAGCAATGAGAGCCCATTTGTTTCTAACACCTTCGATATTATGCTGGGGAGCCACCAAGGCCACCAATATCACAATCATAGCTACATTAACAGGCGACAAAGTTATTGTGTGGGTGAATGTTGCAATTAAAGAATGCAATTAACACGTTTGTCATAGCCTTCAACTTTCTGCTCCGGGCTGTTTGTGTCTGAACTGTATAGCTTGTTTTCAGCTTGTTTGTCGCCCCTTATTAAATTAGAATGAGCAGAATTTAGCTTCAGGACAGCCCAATACAAATCACATTACACTTCAGAGTGAATGATTGCATTTGGCTCATTGGAATCAGCCGTTGCCATTTTTTTTTACTGAATAGAGCTTTTGGTGTTCAACTTGTTGCCTTGTAATATGTTATCCTCGTTTGACTCAATTTTTAGCTTATGATAACTCAATCAAGTGTCCATGTGTTTTCTCTGGATCCCCCTCCACTGGCTGCAAAGCAGCGGTTGCAGTCACTCGACCAGGAGTTAAGGGATTTGAAGCAGCTTAAATTGTCATGCCAGTCCACAGCTACAGACTGCTTTCTCCCTTATTCTCTTTCTGTGAGTCTATAAAAGACATGGCATGTCCAGTCCTGATCTTTCTTTCACAAAGTAATCTCCCCAAAGTCTCTCAATTATTTATATCCTTTCCTCTTTCATGTGGGACATACTTGGCTACTTACTCTCAACTTTGTCATTGTCAAGTCTGCCCTACATTCTGTGAAAGAAGATGTGAAAATGGGCCCTCGTGTGTTTTCTTGGGTGCATTTTTAGATGGAGGTCTGATGTCACGCTGACCGCACATTGAGCTGTCCATCAGTAATATTTTTCTTTTCCGTATTTGGACTGTGTGCCAGACGACACTGCCTGATGGGAGGACAAACGTGTTTGTTTTTTTTAGGACAGGCAATTTTCTTGTCAGTCACTGCAGATTCATTCACTATAATAACCAGAGGGAAAATCCAGCTGGATGTTTTTGAGCTAATGTAGGTGGGCAATGTTGCCTCAGAGGAATTGGTGAAAGTTAGGAATTCTGTGCGGGAAAGACATAAGGGCTTACAGGGATGGAGAAAAGACTGATCGCTGAGTTTTCTTCGTGTAGCGCTGTAGCCTTGAGGGATTTGGTACAACTAGAACACAGATTTCCCACACAACACACAACAGATGCTCGTATGTATCCACAAAGCTTATCTGAGCAAGCAAGCATTGAGTTATACCATAAACTGAATGTACTGTATGTTGAGTGAACACATTCATACAGTGATGTGATGATAAATCCACATCCTGTTTCATGTACTGCATTAAATGCAAAAACAATAGACCGCTAAATTAAAGGGAATAGAAACACTGCCTAATTCTAATGTTGTGATTTAATTGTTATCCGACGGCACTTGTGGGCATTTGGCATAAAAAGTCAAAATGTGAATTGTGACGTAAGGCAGCTATCACATTCACTCCCACACATTCTATCACTCCTACTGTAACAGGGCAGAATACTAAAGTTTTAATGTGCAGCGTGTTTTCTAACCTTTTGTGGTTAGTGACCCCTGAGGTCCATGACCCATCCACACAGGTTGTACATGTGTTTCAGGTGCAACCAGTTCAACCAAGGACTTAAATAAAGGTTTAGATCAGATTTAAATAAAGAGAAAAACGCAAAGACAAATGGAAAATATTACTAATGATCAAAAGTATGAGCCCTCAGGTTTAGCTTGTGACTTAAGGGGGCTCTTGAACCCTAGTCTAGGAACTACTGTGTTTTTGTTTGGTACATGCTCTATTAAGTGATGCTGCACAATTTAGAAACAATTTCTCCCTTCCCTTCTGTTTCTTGCTTCCGTCAACTTTTTTTGTGTGAACTTCCTGCTCAATCCGGTTCTTGCAGACTCGTGGCCTCGGGTGCTTTTTATTTACCAGAATTTATTTTCAACAGGTGCAACCTCGCTTGTCTCTTTTTCCTTTCTCTTAGCTCAATCTTTGTTTTACAGCCCCATCCTGCCCCATTCATCAAATGGCCGTCTCAGAATCTTTTCTCCGTATACAGGGACACAAAAACCTAATTCAACTGCCCACTCTATCACACCCTTGTGACAGTTTCTTCACCTAGAACTCAAGTAATCAACAGCTCAAACACACCCTGCCCACCCCCCTCGCCCCCTTCCTGCTCTCTGTTGCTCTGCCTCTGCTCTCAGTAATGACATATCCGTGTGGAAGGCAGGCAGGCAGTCAGACAGACAGATGATGCAGTGTGTGGGGGACAGATCCATCACACAGGTAGTTTCCCCACTCCAATACATCTATTCAGGTTCATATACCCTCTGATAGCAGGCGCAGGTCGCTCTGTCGAGCATCTACCTGCTCCGTCAGCCATCATCTCTAACTTCTACTGCTGGATTTATTTCTGCACAAAATTAAACTGTGGCGGATGTTTCTGCTGAGTAATTTCCACAGGGCTACAGTTCAAGGAATTTGTTCAAAAGGCCATTGTGTACGATTTTTTCTCTAATAGAATTACAGTATAAGGTCTGAGGATTTTATTGAAACACTAATGAAATCACATGTTGGCCTACAGGAAGGTAAATCAGCGGCTCTAAGTGCTCCGTCTGTCTGTTTCGAGACCTGAATGACACTGGCGTGAGAGGTTGGCTGCTGTGACGCACAGTTCACTCGTTGTCACCATTGATTTGTCATTAGTTCGGCCCTTTAAGAGTCTGCAAGCCATCACTTTGATCAGATCTGTCGCGTTCAATTAAAAGCCTTTTTCCAAAATGGCCTGGCTTTTTTCTTACCTTTATCTTCACTTTACCCCCCCTCCCTATCTTTTGTGTGTAAAGATTTCCTTTGTCTATTGTATAGGCTGCGGTCGCCCTTCTTTGCATTTACGGGCGCTTTAATGTTGGCTGCTGTAAACAGGAACAAGTAAGGAGTTGTTTGAGGGTGTGGCGGGAGAGTCTCTGATTATAGCCCTCCCTCTGTCTCACACCTTATGACAAAAAAACATATCCCCCTCCAGACAGCCGCAGAGCACCTTCTTGCACCAGCATGCCAAGCCTTTGAAACGACTGTACGAGACAATTTTTCTCCCAGCCACAGCGAGTCATTAAAGGCTACATGACAAATGAGCGTGATAATAACGTGTGGACGCCGAACAGGCCGGCCTTCGTACAGTGGTAATAATGTCACATCGGTATAATGGGCAGCAGTGAGGAGGGTGACAAAAATCACTTAGCAGGAGGTCTGCCCCCCCCTCCCCTTCCGTATTCTCACATACAGTAACACACACTCACATACACGTACAATTACTATGACGATCCTATAATAGTGACCATAATGGCAGGACAAAGTGTGACTGGTCTGGGCGTGTTGAGCAGCCTCATTTAAAAGGAAGGAGAAGGTGCTGAGGTGTTGATAACTGTGAGTGTATGTGTGTGAGCACATACCCATCTGCCTATCTATACATTATTTGTTTTGCGTCAGCAGAATAAAAAGAAAATACTGGCTGAGCTCGCTGTTTTTTTTTCTGCTCGCTGTTGTGTTTTGAAGCAATGAACTGGCAATGCCAATATTTCTGCCATCACTGATCCTCTAACAGTTCGTCTACGAGTTCCTGCGGCCCGGTCGGGGTTGTTGTCTGGTGTCAGGCCGACAGACAGAAAGGGATGATGGGTGGCAGGATGTCTGTCAGAGCTAATTATGTTTAATCAGATGCCGAGTGACCAGAGCTCCTGAAAGCTGCCAGATGACTCGGAGAGCATCCATGTGGCCAGAATACATCCAGAATGCTGCACTGAGCATCATTACATACTGGGTGGGGATATGTAACACGTCATTGGTAACACCCAGTTTGCACTGTGGATCATTGCAGTTGATTTGGGCTAAACTGAATAGAGAGGCGGCTTCTCATGCAGACAGGTCTTCTGTGATGAAAGGAGCAGAGCATTGCTGTATCTGCAGCAACAATGGGAAGCAGAGAGATTGGCATCTCCATTCAGACTCTACTGCAGCAGCTGTAAAGAGGCTGATATGCAGATTAGATGGATCTGGCCGAGCCCGACACGCCTGGCCAAAGAGCCACATTACGAAACACAAGGCTGGACTGTGGTTTACGAGCATTGCCAGGGAGATTGCAGGAAGGTGGGCCTGGCCATCGCAGCTGTGTTATCAGAGAGTGAAGGCATTTGGATTTGCATGACTGAGAATGACAGAGAGAATCAGAAAGAGAGGGATGAATACTGAAACGTTAGCACGCTATGCGAAAGTATGAGGAGACCAAACCTGTTTCCTGTCATGCATGCTTATCAGTTCATTAGTCCATGTGACAGACAGGACTGTTGGTGTTGTGCAAAATATGCTCACCTCTTTCACCTTACCAAGCAAACAACAGCCAAAAACCAAACAGCTATAGTTGGGAACCTAGGTTGATGTTTTAGGTCAACGGCTGCCAAATCCTCATTAGACTACAGATCCAAATTAAATAAATAATCCTAAATTAGATGCATGTATGGTGGGTTGAAATAAAATAAAAAATATCACACGTTGATGTTCTGTCTGTACAAACTTGCCATCTGCTCATATCTGCGAGGATCCACATGGAGGGTACGCACCTACAAATACGTGTGAACGCATCCATGTGGCAGATATTTAGTGTAGTATGAACATTTCCATTTTTGGACTCCATCTGCGCCTTAACTGGTTTAAAGGGATACTCCGGCTATTCTGTAATGTACTTCCATGAAGTTGGGGGACACACAAGAGACAGAATAAGGCATAAGCAGCAGAGGGTGAGATATGGCATAAGGTCCAAAAACACTGGATCCTACATTTCCCATGATGCAACTCGATAGCTCAAACACCCTTTCCTCCTAAATACCAATTTATTTGAAACCCCCACTCCTCCAGTTTGTAAAAGCAGGCTTTTTTATATTAAAATATTAAGTCTCACGCCAAGGACAACCCTGATGACATCATCATCATCACATGGACAAACTGAACTTGATGTATAAAAATTGTGGAGTGCTCCTTTAATTTAACGGCAAAAAGTCATGTAATTGACACTGATTTTGCAGAGGACCCTGACATCTCCACGAATGACCCCTAAAAAAGGTCCACGAACCACGCGTTTTGCAACCCTTAAATGACCGTGTTCCATCATGCATTGGGATAGACTTGTGATTAATAATCCCCCGGCGCTCCGTGTTGCACAGATGAACACGGCCATCCCCCCCTCTCAGAGTCCGTCGGAAGGAGGAGTTTAACCCCACATTGCCTGGGAGGAGTCCGCGGTCTCTTGGCGCTCCGTCCCAGGAACGTTTGCTCCGGCAGCAGAGGAATCGTAGAAGTACACAAATTCAGATTTCCATGTTTATACTCAATGCAACGACGTTATTCTTATTTTTTTTTAGCGGTCTCGAAGAAGAAGGAAGCACGTGAATGCTGCGAGAAGTATGTTTCACCAGAGGAGACGTTAAGCCGGGTGAGTTGCAGGAGAACTTACTTCTCAGTCACGTTGCTTTTAAAGGACTCCGCTCGTTTCTGCGCGAGCGCTTTGTCCGCTCTACGACACTTCAACGCAACGATACGCAGTAAAGTTTGTCTGATGACCAAAAGTTTGCGCTTGTTTGCGGTTGTTTGTGGGGGGCTGATATTCATTTCACCGGTGACCTCTCATTGGTTGGTAGTAAATCTCGCTGCAGCAGCTGTGACTGAAATCATTGAACATAAACTTATAAAAACACAATCGTTTCATGGTGAAATGCGTTTTATTGTAGCCAAAAACCCATGAGCCGCTGCAAAAGTATAGAGTAGTTAAGAATGACCGCCCTCTTTATAATCATAATGTCAGATATAAGAACTGCCAGTGTGAGTGCTGAATGCTATATCTGTTATTACGCTTGTTTGCTGTGAAACACACTTTGTTATGATGCATTAAATAATATGCATCCTGTCAGCTCGCTCAGCTGTGGCAAATGAATCAAACCTCCAAACCAAAGGTGTCTGGGTGTCACTCCAATGACACAATAGATCACTTGAGTGTGGATGTTCAACATGTAGCCCGCAGCAGTGTCCCGTGTCTACTCATTGCTCCTCATTCTTCCTTCTGATTTATGAACTGAGAGATTGCGATCATTGGTCATTCCACTAAATGCTGGGGTATGTTTCCACTGTTGTGTTTGGATGTGATTTACATTTCGGCTTGTATTGTTGTGTGGCCGTGTGCTGGGGTGGAAGGGCTCTCCAGTCGCATACAGAGGAAACAAAAGGGCCCCGAGACCCCTGGAGGGAAGGGCCCGCCCAGAGAAAACAGACCCCAGGAGCAGGAGGAAGGGCTGGGCACGCCTTTTGGCATGGTTGGCCCTCTGTCATGGAAACCCACGAGGGAAACCTGTCAGTCTCACTGTCCCGCTACCTTTGCACTGCTGCTGTGGAGGGTTTCGTGATAATAAAACAGGCTAATGTTTGACTCGCAGAGGCTGGCCAGCGCGGTTATTGAGCCGTCTGTTCAAGTTTAGTCGTGAGGAAATGCTATCTTTATGGCAGTTAATGGGATAAAATGAGTGGATGCACTGTACATGGTTTCTAATCATTTACTTGGATCATATTTATCCAGAAATTAGGCTCAGACTAACATGAGTGCAAGAGAAAAGAATGTCTTTCGTTTATTTTTTTGGAGGGGGAACGGGCTGTGTGATGGGTTTATATTTTAGCCCCCCTCGCCTGTTTAATGGACTCTACAGAAATAGATATTTAGTTACATAATTATTGCTGTTCTCATGTGTGCACGCTGTTTTTTTGGGGGGGGGGGGGGGGGGGGGGGTTTCTTTTGGAGGCCAGTAACAAAATCGCCGGGTCAGAAGCCGTGGCACCACATGCATGTTTTTGCCGTTTTACACTTAACATTTTTGTGGCGAAGAAATCGTGAACCACAAGGAACATTATGTTTTTACTATTCTGTTTCTTTGGGACGGGGTCTTGAACCGAAATGATACTGATGGAGTGTGGCCTCTAATTTCCTGTTTGAATGGAAAACACAATGCTCTATGGTTGTGTTCACTTTTTCCATTTGTCGCACAAGTTGCGAGTTCTGGCTTTCAGCTGGCAGGAACGTCGGTTTGTCAAAGTTGTTTACCAGTGACAAAAAGGGAAACGTAATGCTACCCTCTCTCTGGGTAGCACGGAGTCCCTTCACAGGCATCCACAGCTTATCTCTTGTCTAATTTAAGTTGACAGTCTCAGTAACATCGTGACACGATGACGTAATCGCCACAAAAGACTTCCCTCCTCATGAAACAGTCTATTTTGAAGTCGGCTGATATTCAACGTGGGACTTTGGAGTTATGTAAAGAAGAGTTATTTGACTAATAATCTGATGCTCTGTGTGAACAGCAGCCTTCATCAAGTGAGGAATTTGTTCTCCTCTCTGCAGGCCATTTGAAAGGCTGTGCATGAGTGCCCGTTGTTGCTAATTCTGAAGCACTCTGGCCGAGAAACGCCAATGTTTCATGTCTTCTCCCCGGCACATTTTTCTCCATATAAGGTGGCGGTGCATGTGACTTATCAGGCACGGGTAACATCTGTGCTTCTTGTCACACGGGGATGAAGGCCTTCTACTGTCTCTAGGTAGAGAGGCACTGCAGGGGGAAACCACGGGGGCTCCACATGACTGGTGTGTCTTTGAAACAAAAGGATCTGAAATGGATCATGACTTTCTCTTTTTGTCCACTTCTCAGCATGTCCACTCCCTCGATTACAATGTCCTTTCAAGGCCTCTGCATCGGTGTGGACAGTCCCGTCAGTCAAGCATAATGGTGGCCGGCATGTTTCTATTTCTTACATCTGGGGTTGAGATTATATTCGGCTTTCAAAGCGTTTGCCGGTAGTGTACGGCCAGCCGTGTCAGGAGTGGTTGCTATAAAAAGCAGGTGAACTAAAAGCTGGCGTTGACAGCATCCTGGCCGAGACTTCTAATTTGCTACCGCACTCATCGAGGCGCCAACCAAAAGACACATGGCTGGCTCTGACCCTCTTCCTGGGTGCACACAAGTACAGGTCAAAGAGCTGCCTATCACCAACCCAACGTTGACATTACCCGTCCTGTGTTGTAGCGGCAGTTTGGACCAAAATAAAAGCTGAACCCTGTGACTAACAAACGGACGAAAAAAGAACTGTGTACCTTCTGTGCTGCATAATTCAGTGATTCTGAATTTAACTTGTTTTGCTGTGGCTTCTTGGTTGGCGGACAAGCATGCACAAACAAACAAACACACACACACACACACACCCCCCCATCCACTTGGAGGGATTTGTTCAGTCAGCTGTACTTTGTGTATCTGCTCCAACACAAGATCCCCCGCTCTTCTGCACAAACGGGAACCTTCTGTCCAGCTCAGCAGAGCGACTTGGTCTCATCCAGCTGAACCGATGCGCCCATTCACGCTCTTCTTAACCGACAGACCTCTAAAGGGGATTAATGCATAGGTCTAAATTGGATTGCGGCCCTTCTGGGGTCACCTGCTAAAGAATGGCTTTGCAAATTAAATGAAGATTAAATGGTGGCGGGCGCTTTTACAACGTGTCAAACGAGGTAATGGATTAGGAGTTAGGTGCGTGTGATTGGGGGTGTAGGCAAAGAAACGAGCGTGGTAGCTCTTTAAACAGCGCCACACGACTTCACTTGTGAGTAAGACTTTCATTAACCCCAGAGGAATCACTGCAAGGCATGCCATTACCATGCTTTTCTTGATGGTCATATAAATCATATGGCGAAAAGGTGTGCATGAGGCAAAAATGCCCCCATGGCAGCAATTGAGTAGCGGTGCATGTAGTTCCTGGATGCTCACCAGACTGCATGCAATACATCAGTCTGCAAAAGGTGCTGCCTCTGCAATTTCAGCCCGACCACGTGATTTACAAGTCCTGGATGTAAAAGAAGTAGTTTGATTATCAAATTGTATAAACAATGAAGCGGAGCGGACAAGTAGTATTTGGCACAAAGGCTATTTGCTGGCGTATTGATCTGCCTATGAGATTTGATAAGCTAGACGCATCCAGCTGCTTCGGAGAGAAGAGTGTGTGATCTGTTATGCTCAAAACATATTTTTTGAGCACGTGGCTGCTGTTTGTAAAATACTGTTTGAACCTTTTCATTATCAACTCAAGCTGGATTCTGTCGAGTTGCATCACGTCTCCATCGTGTGCAGTAGTCTGTGTGTGCAAAACATCTGTGTTTCTTATACCTTCAAAAGACGGCACGTGTTGGCCCACGCTTCAGGCGATCAATAGCCCTGTTGAATAGGAAACACCCCCAATTCTGCACCCCCCCTCTTTCTCTCCTTTGGTGTAGGCCTACTTACCGGTCAATCCTTATAACAATAGAAATTGAGATTGATCTGCCCTACCTCGGCCCAGTAGCCATAAGGTCTTCCTTACTATCCTTGCCCTATTGGAAAGGCAAACACAGCTGGTTCTACAGACCAAAGTGCTCGCTGCTTGGATGTTCAGTTGGCGCCATGTGACTTGTGTGTTGACCCCCCCCCCCCCAATGATGGATGGAGCAAATACTGGGTACACATTTACTCCAGCACATGCCACCTGCTCATCAGTGGGTGGAGATCGACTTTCCTTTTGTCTCTGACGGAAGCTAGGAAGCCCACTAACTTCTGATGTATCGTGCACATCACCTCAAGCTAGGCGATTGATTCTGATGTATTCAGAATCATCTGTTAAATAATTAAAGCTGCGTTCGTGTCTTTGAACTGCATGATATTAATTGTGCCAGATCTCTCTGCTTTTTTTATAGTTAATTGGATAACAAGTTTCTGCATCCCCGTAGCCTGATCATTATCCCATCAGGATGGGATTCTTCTGAATGATGAATCTTAGTACCACACTTTTATAAAGCACAGGTGGGAAGAGTGTTGGGATGTGCACTAATCTATGGACACACATGGATCCAGCTGTGTCCAATAGTCCATTCATCATAGTCTACCTTAAAATATAACATAAACCTCTAACATAAAATTCCCACCAGATATTGATGTTGTTCTCCTTCTATTGCTTACTCAGGAGCTCGCTCCGCTGAACTGCTTAGGGCATGACGTGGCCATATCTGCACAGTTCCTTTGCTTTGTATCGGACATGAAGTGCGTTGGGGAGGGTCTTTGGCAACCGGTATGTTTGTGTTATGTTAAGGGACATTTTCTGGCTCATTAGCACTCCTCTCACTGTCCAGCCCCCTCCCTGCTTCAGCAGTATGTGGTTTGATCTCCGAGCAAGATAAGCTCTTTTCTCCACTTCTCAGTTTCCAGGCCCCGTCATGTTGGCTCAGTCAATTGGCGTCCAGCCAGCGCAAACAGAGGCAGGGTCCTGATTGCTTTAGGTCACCTGCAATCCTGGCATCCACTCAGTGAACACGCTCAATTAAAGCTTTCTTCAAAAACGCTTTTCTCCAAAGAGGTAAATGTATCCAAAAGACCC